TACTATTATATATATATATATATATATATAGTACTACTATTACTTGTAAGGACGAAGCTTTATCTTTACACATTAGTTTCTTGAATACTGTTTTTTTAAGCTTTGTTTTCTTGTGAGACCAATTAATGGTAATTAACAAACGGGAAAATAATCCCACATCAATAAATGCATGTATATTTGTAGCTGCAATAAATCTATTACTCTTATGCAGTGTATAGGCCTCCATGTTTTTTATTTTTTTAATAATATTTCAAATATTGTATTGTAGTGGTCGATATGATATTACGATAATACAAAATACCGATTGGTCGATCGATACGACAACCTTTTAAATAACGCGTTTGCCAAAATGTCGAATTGTGTAACAACTTCTAACCAAGAAATGTTGGCCAAATTATGGGATAATACAATTTTTTTATTTCATTTTTTAGTATTTTTATGTTTTTATCAAATTTTTACTAAATTTGAAAGTTCTACACTTAATTTTAATGTTTATATGTTTTTTTTTTAAATAGCACTAATTAAATTGGTTTTATATATTATCTATGTTATAAAAATAAATTTATTTAATATTTATTTAAATTAGTATAACATGAGATAAAAAATGGTTGAACAGCGTATCAATGATTTGTTTGATACGATACGAATTTCGTATCTTGAACACTTATTTTTTTTAATACATATGAATACTTTACAATTAAAGTTTTATATTCTAAGCAATAGCATTAAACAAAAGTATGAAATTTTATATTCTAACGATCAGACAGCTTCATATGTTATTTAGTACACATTTATATCTATATATGTATAAATGTTTATATTTATTTAAAATAATATAGTTTTTCCGCAATAATAATGATAATTTGTTTCTAAATAAGGTAGTGCTTTCAAAATTATTTTTTTACCTTTTTTCTTTATTTTTGGTAATTTGTACTTACCATACAATATGTGACCTTTTTTTTAGGCAATGTGATATTAATAATTGATCAAAATATATTGATTAATTTTTTCAAAAAATGTCAATTAGTTATTTTATTTCTACCTAATTTATTATATTTTATTTTTTTGTGTAGTGACATCAATTATTTTATATAAAATTTTAAAAAAATTATAACGAATTATTACATTTCTATCTAAGTTATAATTTAAATTTGAAATATATATTAATGGATATGATTGTAGATTAATAAATTAATGGAATTGAAAACAAACTTTCTAAAAGTTACAATCAAATATTTTGTTTCTAAAATGACTAGAAAAATTTTAAACTATAATTTTGTGCTATTTAGTTAATTTCCATATTGTTGTCTTCTTATTTTATTTTCTAATTTTTTTATTAAGTATTAATGCCACTTAAAAAAATTAATAATATTTTTATTTTGTTATCTATTTTTTATATTTAATTAAATTAACCTTCAGTTATTATTTTTTATTTGAAATTAATATTGTATGTATATATATAAAATTATTTCTTAAGTATAACACGTTTATTATTTAATACTGCATATATAAAATGAACTTAAATTTTTTATTAATAATTTAGAAAAAAAATGAATTAGTCTCAAGTTCTTCATATAATAAAATGTAATGTATATATAATGTAATATATTTAGTATAAATAATTAAAAATAGCAGTTGGTGGGTCATTTATCGATTGTCAAATAATATATACATATATATATATATATATATATATATATATATATTAGATTTGAAATCGTATTTGTAATATGTATTGTTATAAGTTACAGTAAGCGAACTTGTCATTTGTCGAACTGCCATGTATATTATAATATTCAAAATATTAAAATATGTATAATATATTGTTATAACTCATGATGACAAACCAACTGATCATATGTAAGTTTTTAGCTTAGAAAAATTAAAATATTTATATTATATATTGTTGTAACTTATAATGATAAATTAATGGCATTGAACTGTCATGTGACTTATTATATTAGAAAGAAAACTCAAATATTTAGAATACACATTACTATATATAAATTATAAAAAAAAAAATCAACATAATATAAATTAGTAATTTTTATTTTTTTAGAATAATATACACCACACTTTTTTTAAATTAAGTGTCGGTTATATTGTTTGCACAATTTTTAACCTTACCATCGATTGTTTATGAATCGAAATAATATACTGTAACAATGCATGAATAAGAGAAGAGAAAAATAGAAATATTATTGTGAATATTATTTATTTTGTAATGCTTGAATATGTTAGAATTATCATGTTCTTTAGTTTCTAAACATGAGCTCAAATGACAACTATTTATAACGGGCGAAATACAAATATTAAATCCTATTTATAAACTATTTATATATCATAAAAATAATATTAATACTCAAAACTATTTTTTTACAAACCGATATTCTAGATGTGACCAGGTGCTGGGCCAAGGCTCGGTCCGGCCCGGCCCGCCGGGCCACGGGCTCTCCAACACCCGGACCGCGATCGGCCCGCTAAGAACCAAGGACCGGTTCATAGAACTGGCCCGAACCGCCAGTTCACCAGCCCGGCGATTCACGGGCAGTTACGGTCCTTGAGAAAATCAAAGAATTTGGCCCGACTCGGCCAAATATTCCTTCCCTACTTAATTTATACAATTTACCATTATCACCTATGTAATCACACGAACCACGCACCAATATCTTTTTAACAAATATTTATACTTTTTTATAGCGTGTAAGTATGTATATTGTTTTATTTAAAATCCTACTATACCTCACACACTTTTGCACCGACTTGGGCAGGTCACCGGTCAGCTGACCACGTCGTTTCATGGCTCGAACGCTGGTAAAACGACCTGCCCGTTTGCCTCTTTCTCCTGCTGGGCCGGCCTTGGGCCTTGGGTTAAAAGAAAGATAGCAGCAGACACACACACACAAACACAAACACACACCAA